TGGACGCTGTACGTCAGGGGTGTCACACTCATTTTCACCGGGGGCCGCACTTTCACCTCGGTGGCCTTCAGAGGGCCGAGTGCAACTCTGGGACTGTGTGACTGTAACTAACTACTCCTTAACTAGGGCCAGGAGCTCGGCACTGCCTCAGGGTAGAGACAAGGTGCCCAGCGGATAAAACCAGGCAGAGGGCCAGTTCACCCTCGGGCCTGGAGTTCTCGGCCTCTGCCCTGAGGGAGGAGCGGTCAGGGCCCCGACTGAGCAGTCAGGTGTTGCCTGTTGTAGAAGCCCGTGGGGCACACCGGCTGAAAATCACTGCTCTCAAGTGTTACCACGGGGCATCCTCTAGGAGCCCGAGACCTTTCTCAAAACCTAAACTATGTCACGAGCTGTGTGCTTCTGGGAACTGCAAAGGGTTCTGGGAAACAAGGAGGGCGGGTGCAGAGGCCGAGGTGGCCACGGGGCCTCGTGCGCAAAAGGGCTGTGAGCAGAGGGGCCGGGTGAGGGCCCCGGCGCCCAGAGGGAAGCCGGAGCAGCTCCCGGGATTGATTGCGTCTCCCAGGGCCTCAGCCTGTGGAGGCAGAGGCCCCGCCCCGGCGGGGGCAAGGTGCCTCAGGCCCGAGCTCACCTGCCCCCATCCCTTCATCAGAGAATGAAGTCTCTGATCTGCTGTTCCGAGCTCAGCCCATCCTGTCGGCGCCCACGGCGAGGGGCAGGAGGACCTTGGCTTGGGTCCTAGACCGGAAGGCAGGTCGCAGAGCCCGTGAAATGTGAGCTGCATTATTGTTACCGCCGCCCCGGCCCTCGGCCCTCGGCTCAGCTGACTCAGAAGACAGCTCAGAGCAGACAAAACAACTCGGGGGGAGGGGGAGGGAACAAAAACAGCTTCAGCGGGAACTGCTGCCGCTGCTTCTGCCAGAAACTGTGAGATAAGCCAGGACTCCACGTCACGATGGGCAAATCACTCAGGGGCGTATTTGAAGAAGGATCAGTAAGGAATTCCGCTTATCACACAGAAAACACTGGGCTGGGCTGCTCATTTCCGTCCTGGGGCGATGGCCTTGAGGCTGGGCAGTGAACCCGGAAGGTGAGGATTTTCCAAAACCAACACTACTTCTCCCAGAAAATGGGATTCCTAGCTAGAAGTTTCTAAGTTTCCAACCGGAATCCTGGCTTATCATCAGCATCCAAACCCGCTTATGTTTACAGTTTCCTAAACATTTTTTAAAAAGATTTTGTTTTTAGAGAGATGGGAAGGGAGAAAGAGAGAAACATCAGTGTGTGGCTGCCTCTCCTGCGCCCCTACTGGGGACCTGGCCCACGACGCAGGCATGTGCTCCAACGCAGAATGGAACCTGCCACCCTTTGGTTCTCAGGCCAGCGCTCAGCCCACTGAGCCACACCAGCCAGAGCCAATTTTCTAAGCATTTTTATGTTTTCTTAAGTGTTTTATACAGTTTGCCTTTTGGAAAAAATAAGTGTTTGAGAGGCATGCAACACAGGGTGCCAATAACTCTCCCTCCGCCCTCCCAGGGCGCCGCGCATCGGACGCTCAGCGCAGGGAAAGCGCGGAAAGAGGCGCTGAGGGTCCCGCCCCGTGCGCCCGGGAGCAGGGACCGCGCGTCCGTCCCTCGTCTGCAGATCGTCCCCTTCCCTGTGCGAGGCTCACGCCCGCGCACGGCTTGCGGGCGGTCTCGAGCCCGGCCGGGTACTCCGAGGACTCGCAAGCAGCTGGAGGCTGCAGAACTAGGAGGTGTCACGGGGAGCCGCGCAGAGCCGAGGGCGCAGGCGCAGAGAACCGAGTAAACCGCGCCGGAAGCCGGAAGCCGCCCGCCCACGTGGGAGGGTCCGCGACGGAGTCGAACGGAAGCTGGGAGGCCGCGGGCCGGAGGCGCAGGTGGCAGGCGGACGGGGCTGGTGGGTGACGGCGGCGGCCCCCACCCGCCACCTCCTCGGCTTCAGGTCGTCGCAGCGGCGGCAGAGGCCGCGCCCGGGCCTGAACGCCCCACGGGGCCCAGAGGCAGAGTCTGGGACCCTGCCTGCCGAGCGGGCGTCCCGCCCGTTTCCCCCCGGGCAGCGGGCGGGCGGATTTGCACCTGGGAGCACGCAGCCCTTCCCGTTACCGGGGGTCAAGGGGTCTCGGCCTGGAGGCTGAGCGACCGGAAGTCCGGCCCAGGCATCAGGCCCGGCCCTTCGCGAGGGGCCTGCAGCGTCCAGGCCGGGGGAGAGGTGGGGGTGCGGGCTCAGAGGGCCCCCCAGAGGACTCTGCAGAGTGGAGGCCGTCGGCGTGCGAGCGGCTGAGAAGGAGCTGGGCGCGCGTCTGGAAACCTCAGCCGGAGGGACTGGGGTCAGCGGAGGCCACCTCCGAGATGGAGCCGAAAGCGGACCCTGGCCTGGGGTTTGCAGACGGGCCTGGCAGGGTCCTTGCGGGCACCCCAAAGGTACGCAACAGCCAGGGGCAAGGCGAGGGCCGTGAGCACACGGCGTCCTGCGGGGGTGGTCAGGTGGGGGGGGGACCGTGGTGCCCCCGGCAGGGAGGGGACAGAACACCGGGCGGCCTTGTCTCGGCGATGGCGTAACTAGAGCCGCTGCCTCCCGTCACGGCTGTGGCCACCGTGTCCACGTCTCGGGGACGCCCGGTCCGGGGGGCAGACAGCTGCAGGGAGGCCAGAGGCCGCGGAACAGGCTGGGAACGCGACAGACAGAGCTCTGTCTTCCTTCCTCAGAGCCGCTGTCCCCAAGTCACCCTGGAAGATCACCGCTCACCCCTTCCCACGGCCGTGCTCTGCTCTGTCTCGGGAGCAGTGGCCTCGAGCGGACTCTGGGGGGGGCTCCCTCCCCCCCGGGCCCTGGGGTCACGGCCGGGGTCCCTCCCAGAGGACAGGCAGGAGCAACGGGACCAGGACCCCGTGTCTGCATGGCGTCCTGTCCCTGTGTGACTCCTGCGGTGGCCGGATGACTGGGAGTCCCTGTGCGCTGTCCCCCCCACCACAGAGGTGACCTGGGGCCCAAGGGTAGCGGAGCCATTTTTTTTTCTGTTTTCTTCAGACATTAAAATAAAATGTGGAGGAAGACTTGCTCTGGAGAGCAGGTCAGGGCCTGGCAAACTTAGACAAGGAAACGGGGAGTGATTCTCAGGGAGGAAGCTGGCCCGGCGTCCCCCCCCTCCCCCCCCCACCCCTCACTTCCAGGCTCCCTATTCACGGTCCCCGAGGGACCTTCACCGGCCCCGACTCAGGCGGGATGCAGAGACACCCCAGTTCTGCAGGGCGCCCGCCAGAGCCCAGGACACCGCTTGTAGGGGCTGAGGGGGTTCCTCTGTCTTTTTTCCCCACAGATGGCCGCAGCTCTCACCCGATCCAGAGAAGGGCCTGTTACTCTGAGCAGTTCGGACCCTGGGCTCCTGACACCTCGCAAGTGTGTCTCGCGGTGGACAAGGAGGCAGTCAGGGAGTGGGGGCCCGTGACATGGCGGACGTGGGGTCCATGGCCGTGAGGCGAGCGTCCTGTGCCCCCTTTTCCGGGGAAGAGAATCTGGGAAGGCAGGAAGGCAGGCCGAGCCGTTCGGGGTCTGCCCCTCGGCACCTCCAGACGCCGCGCCTGCCCTCTCCTGGCAGCAGACCCGCCGAGCACCTGCAGCGAACCAGCGGGCCCCCAGGCCGAGGCGCCCGGCCCTGCGACCAGAGGGAGCGGCGTGGCGGACACACACCGTGTGCATCTTCTGCTTCGTCCGCAGAGCCGGCACGGCGCAGAGGAAAGAGAGGCTGCGCGCCCTTCCCGGCTGTCACCCCTGCCCCCGCGGGTCGTCGTCACGTCCACCAGCAGACGGTGCGTGTGTTTCCCGGGCAGCACCCACCCTTGGCACCCATGGGAGGACACAGAGGGGTGCTCGGGCCCAGGACCAGGGGCCTCTGGACGTCACATGCTGATGAAATAATGAGACGCAATTGAAAAGCACACGGGAAAAGGCGTTCCGTAAAACCGTTTACTTCCCACAAGAAGGACCCGCGGACCAGCCTGGGGGGCGGCGTGGGCACGCCTGCAAGTCCTGACAGTCTCCACAGCGTCACCCGCTCGCCCCCCTGCGCCCTTCAGGGACAGAACTGTGGACGTGTGTGGGGGGGGGGGGTGTCCCACGAGGGGCCCCGGGACAGGAGAGTGTGGCTGCCAGACACGCCAAGGGCATGGCCCAGGCCCCGCGGCTTCAACGCAACGGGACACGAGAGCGCACATGCCGGCAGCTTCCACCGCGGCCTGGTCCCTGGGCCTCAAAGCACTCGGGGCTCGTGTGTGATGGGCATGGAGGGACTGGGCGCAGGGGTGCTTCTCGGGCCATGGATTCGGAAGGAGGAGGAGGACGAGACTTCCTGGCCCCTCGTGAACCGCTCGGGGGCTGCCGTGAGCCTCTATTTAGAAAACGACGCGATGATAAAAACAGGTACAAAACAGCCTCATCAGCAACACGAGTGAGGAGTCTTCAAGTATTTCGTGTGCCTCGGAGAGTTCCAGACGGGGTTCCAGCCGTTCACACCCTGGCCTGCCCTCGCCCTCATCCTCCTCTCAGAGGGAGCGGGGGACGCGGGCCCGTCACCCTGACGTGTGAGACGCCACGAACGGATGCGGTGAGTGGATGCCACGCAGAACAGCGACTCCGGGGGCCCTTGGTTTGCAGAAGGGTGTTCCGTAGACAGGACCACCGTCCCCGGGGCAGTTTGGAGCCTGGGCTACGACCTGGAGCCCACAGCCCACACCCCTGGGGACAGCTGCCCACGTCCCCCGGGGACAGCTGCGTCCCCAGGAAAACACAGGGTGACAAGTCCACCTCGGTCAGCAGGGGCAGCGGGTGGAGGCCTCATGCCTTCCAGCTCCACGCCCACCCGGCTGCTGGCCCTGCGCCTCGGGCACCCAGGGGCAGCCGTGCAGTGCGAGTCGAGGACAAGACTCTCGGTGACCTTTGCTCTTGAGGGTGCTGCTCAGTGGGCCCGGGGGGCGGGGGGGGGGCACAGCTGAATCAGGTATGGCGCCCCCTGGAGGATGGCGGCGGGCCTGCAGGCGAGCCGGCAGGAGCGGGATGCTGCTGGGTCTCTGGGTGGAGACGGGGACTGGATGTGCGTGCAAGTGTGTGTGCGTGTGTACACACCGGCGCTGAGTGCCTGGGGCCTCTCCGTCCATTCTTACGGGTGTGCGCGCGTGTGTTTGCGTGCGTGCACGTGAACACACGACTGATCAGCCTCACCCAAACGCCCCCAGTTTGCAGGAGGTCCTGGCCAGCACCACCCGTGAGCCTGTGGGTGTCACGTGACGGGGACCCACCGACCGACCCGCCTGAGGCCACGCCGCTGGGCAGACAGAGCGGCCAACGGTCTCTAAAAACCGGGGGGCGGGGGGGCGGGCTGGAATGAGAGGCTGGCCCAGCGGACGCGGAAACATGGACACGAAATCTAGGGAGGGCACGGGGCGGGCAGCGTGGGTTCTAGGCTACGGTGCAGGCTCGCACGCCCCTGCCGCCCACGGACCACGGCTGGCCGCGGGTCTCCGGCACAAGTCTCGGCCGCCGGGGGGACTAGGCACACTGGGGCACCAGGGAGGGGCCGTCCGCGGCCGGCTTGGCCCCCCTCTGCTTCCCGGGCCTGCAGGCGGCGGGGCGGGCCAGCTCCAGGAAGAAGCGGGACCGGAGGAAGCGGCGGTAGGAGTCCTTCTCCATCAGGTGGAAGATGCGCCGCTGGGCCTCGTCGAAGCAGGTGGCCGTGGGCGCCCGCAGGTTCCGGCGGGTCTCCTCCCGGGTGCAGGCGTCCAGGTTGACCTGCGGGGCGGAGGCCGGGCGGGTGAGACGCCCACGCCGCGCCCCGGGGAGCACGGGCCCCGCGTGGGGGCCGCCGGGCTCGGGCGCCCCCGCTGCTGTTGCCCGCAGACGGGGCGCACTCCTCCGAAAACCCGCCCGGGTCATCCGGGGGAAAGGGCCTTTTCCTGGGCCGGTTCTCGGGGGTTCGGGGTCACAGTGAGCGGTCCCCTGCGCTGTCTTCCCCTGCGCTGTCTTCCCCTTCGACCCGGCGACCCGCCAGCCCCGGGACGCCCCACCACGCCCCCACGTCTTCGCGGTGAGGACGCACCTCCCTGGCGGCCTGGACCGAGACGAACTCCTCGTAGATCTCCCGGGCCCGGGAGCCCCGCGCGCAGGGCGAGGCGAGTCTCTTGTACTCCTCGCAGCTGACCCAGAAGTCGAGGTTCTCCTCGCTGTACTCGGACTGCAGGAAGGCCCTGAACGCCGCCAGCCCGCCTGCGACGGAGGGGACGGGACCGCCGTCACCACACGGGGTTGGGGGGCAGGGGGGGCCTGCCCCGTGCCTCAGACGCGGCGCTGGGGCTGGAGGGAATGGGGCGGGGCTCGGGCGGACCCCCACACCCCCTTCTGCGGGGTCAGCTGGGGGCAGGTGCCCATAACCTATGTCAGTCTGTGCAGGGTCCGGCCACACCCCGTGCTCCAGTGGGTTTGGGGGAGCGAAACTGAGGTGGGTTCTGCCAGAAATCCCAACGTGTGGAGGTTTTCCCTCTGCCCCTCCCCCACTTTCTGCATGAGCCTCCCATCGTAGGGGACAGAGCTCAGGGGCAGGTCCCACATCGAGTGAGACGGCGTGTGTCCAGGGGGCGTGGGGGGCGGGGCGGACTTACACTCATGGCTGATCAGGCTCTCCAGAGATTCCGCCCACTTTTTGACTTCCTCCGGGCCCACCCTGAAGGAAAAGAACAGTGTGACTGCCATGCTCCGAAGCTGGGAATAAATTTAAGACCCCAAGTACGACTCGGAGACTTTATTCTCCGCCGGCCGTTGGGACGAGGCCCGCCGCTGCCTCGGGCCGCCCTCCCCCATCATCCCCCCACCCCACCCCCTGGCTCGGTCATCGCGGACTGCGGTTCCAGACCGGCGGCGCCCGCCCGCTCACCTCTGGCAGACGACCAGCTTGTCCCTCCTGCCGTGGGAAGAGCCGTGCTCGCAGGACCCCGACTTCTGCAGCAGCGCCCCCAGCCGGTGCTTCACGTCCTTCGCGCTGCGCGGAACAGGGGGCGGAGCGTCAGGGCCGCCGGCTCCCGTCCCAAGACGCCCTGGCTGCTGGGCTGCGGCAGATCTCCGGGGCCGCGGGGCCCCTTCCCCCGCCGGCCACCGGCAGCCTCTCCTGCGAGCCGGCCCTGTCGCCAGGAGCACACGGCGGGGGGAGGGGATCTCCAGCAGACGCTGGGGGACCCTGGCCGACCTTGGAGCCAGCGCAGGGCAGGGAGCGGCAGGCGCCGAGGCCGGGCACCTCCCGGTGGCGCCACCTCCTGGGCAGCGGTCGCCACTGCCACTCTGGCCGCTGGCCCCCTGGGCTGCACAGGGGTCCCCGCCTCGTGGAAGGGGGGCCAGCGGCCTGCGGCAGGCGTGTGGCCGCCGCGGAGGGCCCCGACAGGGAGGCGTGGAGCCTGCAGCCCCAGCCCCCTCGTGCCACCTGCCCCCCCCCCCCGCCCCCCGAGACGTTTACACCCTCAGGGCCCTGGGCGCATGGACAGGAGCGGGAGGAGCAGGCAGCGTCCTCGCCGCGGCTCTGACTGGGGGCGGCGGGGGACTCGGACACGGGGATCCCCCCCCCCCCCGCTCAGCCCCCTCGTCCTCAGTAACTGCCCTGTGCTCGTTTCCCCTCCCCCACCAAGACCCCGCAGTCGCTTCAGGAGAGAAGCAGCCTCTTAGGGGAAGCGAGTGCCGGGCGTCCCTGCTCAGAGGGGGAGACGCGGGGCCCTGGCTCTGGGGCGGCTGCGCTGTGGGTGTGGCCCGCGGGCGCCCCCTCGCCGTCCCCCGGAAGGACGCAGGGACCGAGCCCCGGGACGGCGCCCCTGGGCGGTGCTCGGTCGGAAAACAGAAGTCCGCTCCCACTTCTGCGCACTGGCCGCCGGAGCCGCTCAACGCGGCGCCACCGCACACGGAGATGCCTGTCCTCGAGAAACCACGCCCCCTCGGGGAGAAAACCCCAGGGGCCCCGTGGGGGCCAGGACACTGGGGTCGGCTCCTCACTCTGGGCCCCGCCCCCCACCACTGTGACCCCGAGCCGCAGTGACAGGCACAGGAGGGAAGGGGCCGGGCCAGGTGCCCATGCTCCCCAGGTAGGACAGAGGCCGGCAGCTCACCCCGGGGCTCCTGGCGGGCAGAGCGCCAGGGTTTCGTCCACCTGCCCAGGTGCTCGCGAGCACAGCCCCTTCCCACGCCTGTGTGCTGCACAGCCGATTTCCCGAGAGTCAGCCGGGGCGTGGGGGGCTCCTCTCGATTCTGCCAGGACCCCAGCTTCGTGTCAGAGCCGCCAGGTGGGAGGGCAGGCGGGGGTCATGTGTCCTGCGCCCCAGTGATGACCCGGAGCCCAAGCCACGCGTCTGGGGGTGCCCAGGATGGCGCTTCCTGGGAGATGAGGGCGGGGGCTTCCCCCGCCACCTGGCTTCCCCTGAGGTCGGCTCCCAGAAGGGGCTGGGTTTCATCTCACGTCAGCTGCCCAGTGCAGAGGTGCCCCGGGAGCAGTTACTACCCCCTTTAAAGACCCAAAGACGTGTGAGTAACTGCATCGCTGTTCGGGCTTTCAAAATCAAGATGCAGCGCAGGACAGAACCACGTACCCGGGGTGAGACCTTGCACCCACAGGTGGGGGCGTTGCTTCTACCCGCCACCCACACGAGACACTCCAAGACCCGGCGGGGGGCCGAGAGGCGGGGGTCCGGCTTTGGAGTCACGTGTGGCTGTGACATCGGTCCAGAGAGCACAGGCTGTGGCCGACACCCAGCCCCACCCGGGAGCGGAGCGCCCTTCAGGGGGCAGAGCTCACGCCGGCTGGGTGTCCCCCCCCACGGGACCCAGTGTCTGCGGACCAAGAGCCCCGAGAGGGAGCCGGCGTGCCCCGGTGACACTCCCACCGCGCCGGTCACAGCCGAGGCTCGAGAGACGGCCGTGTCCCGGGCAGACCCTCGCCTCGCTGCCCGCTGGGGCCGACTCGGCCGGAGGAGGGTCACGACAGCGCTCAAAGCCAAGGTCAGCCGCCGCGACTCCGAGGGGGGGGGCGCCGGGTCACCAGTGGGCGCAGACGCCACCGAAGGTCCCCTTACCTCCTCAGGCAGGAGGCCGGCAGCCCCGCCAGGCCCTTGCACATCCTCGGGGGGGGGCGCGTCCGCAGGGAGGGCGGCGGCGGCGGCGGCGGCGGCGCTGGGGGCCTGCGAGCCCTGCGAGCGAGCGCTCTGGCCTCTTCTGCTCTGGAGATGCTCCGGAGACTGCGGCTTCGTCCCAGCCGGCAGGTCCCTTTTAAAGCCCAGCCGGCACCGCCGGGCAGCCAATCAGCAGCGCCCGCCCGGCACCCCCCCTCCGGTGGCTGCAGCCTCCGCAGAGCCTGGGGGGGCGGGGGGGGCAGGACGGCTGGCACAGCCGCAGAGACACCTCCTGCCAGGCAGAGAACACTCAGGAAACGTCTCCCCCACGGCCCCAGGGTCCTGGAGGCTTCGAGTCTCTGGAAAAGGGCTCGTGGGGCCGCACGCACGCACGCCGTGGGGTGTGCTCACGTTTCTGTAAAAACAGGGTCACCGGGAGTTTCCCCTGGGGGCGGGGGGCGGGGGCCCCCGGAGCTCATGGGCTTAGCTGGGGGGCTCTCCGCGCAGTAGCTTCTGTCCGGTCAGAGACAAAGGATCTCAGGGCCCCAGCTCTCACCCCCCCTGCTTCCAGGCCGGCACCTGCAGACCGGGGCCTTCCGGGGTCAAGGTCACGGCCACACACGGCCGGGAGGGCCGCTGGAGCACGGGCCCGGGAGGACGTTTCTGGAACTCTTACTCAGAACATCCTCAGCCCAGCCGTGACGCCCTCTCCGCCTCACGCACGGAGCCGGGGGCCGCGGACCGGGACCGGGGCGGGGACACGCACGCAGACAGACGCCGCTCCTGTTTGCAGGCAGACTCGCACCCTAACGCGTCTCCCAGCTCCTGAGTCCCCAGACCAGATTCCAAAACACTGAGAGAGGGAGGGGCACAGGTGGCTCACCCTGCACACCTGTCGCCCGGCTGCAGGGTGAGCGGAAGACGGTTCGAGACTGCAGGTGCCACGAGCACCTGGACAACGACACCGTGTGACGGACCGATTACTTCAAAGACCCGGGCAGGTGTTCCGACGGCGGCCGCCCCGGAGGCCCCAGCGCAGCGCAAACAGCCTGCCCCTGCAGCAGAGCTGGGGGGCGGGCTGGAGCAGGGGGACGGCCGTGTGCCTGGCCCATCCCGCAGCTTTGGTTTGGACAGCACACAGGCGCCCGGGCAGGTGTGGCCCAGTGGGTCGGGCGTCGTCCCGCGAGCTGGAACACCCTGGGCCGGGGTCCCAGTCGGGGCACACGCCTGGGTCACAGGTTCGATCCCCGGTCAGGGCGCACGCAGGAGGCAATCAATCGATGTTTCTCTCTCCCTCCCTCTCTTTCTCCCTCCCCCCCACCTAAAAAATCAGTAAATGTGTCCTTGGGTGAGGATTTTTAAAGAAAGGAGCAAAGACATCAAGCGGTTAGGTGAAGAGGGTGCAAACCAGAAGGCGCCTGTGGCTGCGGAAGGCACGGGGTGAGACTCACCCCCACATCCGAGACGCAAGCACCCGGCACGGCCACCTGGCCCGGCCTCGGTGGCACCGCGAGGGGACGGCCGAGCAGGGCAGCCCGGTGCAGAGGCCATGATCCCAGAGGAAGCACTTAAACCACAGGAAAGTCCCCCCCCGCCCCGTCCCTCGCAGCACGGAACACGTACCTGTCTCTGGCGGCGCAGCGGGAAGGACGCAGGCGCGGTGCAGAGTGACAGAGACGGCCCGCCGGGCCCAGGCAGGGGCAGCCGGTCAGGAAGGGCCTCCGACGTGGGGGGCGACGGTTGAAGGAGAGGCGGGCCCTGGAAGAGCACCGTCCCCGACACCAGGCTGAGCCACACGAGGGGGGCCACGAAGAAGCTGCCGCCTCGGACTCGGACCAAAGGGGAGCTTGTCCGTCCTGAGCCCGGTGTGAGCAGCTCCAGCAGCTGAGCCGGATCCGCCCTGAGTCCCGTGTGAGCAGCTCCAGCAGCTGAGCCGGATCCGTCCTGAGCCAGGTGTGAGCAGCTCCAGCAGCTGAGCCGGATTCCGGGTGGGTCGGGGCGAACACCTCCCTCCCCGCAGGAAGTGGACGGGGGCCGTGACCTCAGGGACCCGTGGAACCTCTCGCTGCACGCTCATTCACCTCTCCGATGACCATGTCCTGCCTTCTCGGGCGTTTCGACACTCCCGAAGACGTCTGGGAGGGCTTCCCACTGCCGGCTGCGTTTCCCCCCGGGGGGGGGGGAGCTGAGTGTGAGGAGGTGGGGGCCAGCCCAGCGCGAGCCCCGGCCGACACGCGCACAGCTCCCGACTCCGTCTCTCCGTCAGGCGGCGTTCCCGACGGTGCTGGCGACATGAAGAACTTGGTTCTCCAAAGACCTCGTTTTTACGGATTCCTTGACTTCAGGCAGGTCTCCTGGGGTTCAGGTGCGAGGCTGGGGGCTCACCTGCCTGATACCACGGGGGTCTGTGTCCTGGGGAAGCCCCCCGGCGTCTGGGTGGGCAGGGGCCGGGCGGACCTGCCACGTGGCGCCGTCTCACGGGGCGTCCCGCACGGGGCGGAAGGGCCCGGCCCCTCAGACCCCGGGGGAGGGACCGCACTCGGGCAGGGGTGCAGGGCGTGGAAGGCGCAGGTGGCACCCGTGTGGCTGGAGTCCGCCCGCCTTCCCTCTCTGTTGCACGCTGAGGCCGTAGTCAACTTCTGGGGGAAAACCCGAGTTCCCCGGGGGACGTGGACATCAGGAATCTCCTTCTGAAACCCTCCCAGAGCAGCATCTGACCTCCGGGCCCAGCTCCCTGCCCCGCCCGAGGACCCCGCTGCCCCCACAAACAAGAATCAGGGCCCCCGCGGAGCCAGCGGACGGTAGCCACACCTGCCCCCCGCCCCTCCGGGCCGCAAGAATCTGTCTGACGCGCGTGGGGAGACTCTGCTGGTGGGGAGACGCCTGCAGCGAGGTGCGGTTCAGCCTCTGCCTCGGGTGGCCGGGAGACGAGGCCGTGATCAGAGGCACCTGCGTTTCCTTCGGGCCTCGGGGAGAGTGCAGCGTGGGCACGAGGAGGGCAGGGCTGCCGGGCTCAGGGGTCGATCCAGGAGTTGGGTAGGTGGGGGGCGGGGCGGGGGACCGGGGAGCGGGAGGCTGTGCGGACTCGGACCTCCTGTCCGACGCTGGGGCCGGCCCGAGTCTCCTCACTGAGTGTCCCCCCCAAACTGGGGGTGGAAGCTGTCCGTTCCGGTTGCATGTCCGTCACTTCTGCGCAGGCCAGAGGCACTGGGTGCTCGGCGGGTTTGAGGAGGGAGGGTGGGCATGGGGGACACTCCCCCTGCACGCTCTCACCCCACCCCCATTCCTCTCGGCTCCCAGGACCCCTCCCCCGCCGCCCCCCGCCCCGGTCACGGCCGCCCACCGGAGGGACGGGCGTCCATGGATGGCCGGTGCGTTCCGGCCGCTTGGACCTGTGGGGGCAGCAGCCTCGGGGACCCTGTGTTTTCTCGGGTCCCGAAGCCGTTCCACGTGTCTGTCGAGGACCTGCCTCATCCCTTCCGTGGGGAGAGAGCGGAGATGAGTTTGCCAGCGGAGATCCTCGAAAAGGAAGTTGATTACTGTGCGGCCAGCCATCGGAGAAAGCCACCTGGGGTCTTCTCGTCCCCCACGAAACACGGGGGTCAGGAGGCCCCCGGCTCACGAACAGGGCGGGGAGTGAGCGGCCCCTGCAGGAGCCCACCGCTGGACCCCCCCCCCCCAGGTCGGGAGGCCTGCGTGGGCCGGGCCGGGGGACCACAGCGAGAACAGGCCCCTCCCACGTCCCTGCTGCCCAGCACCCGCCTCCCACCCACCCGGTCCCCGGCGGCCTCCGGGGAGCGGTGGGGAGGAGGGCAGTATTCAGCCTGTCGTCCACCTGAGAAAAACACACTTCAGAATTCTCGGAGATGATGTCAGTGAGTCATTGCTGATAAGGAATTCTGGTTCCGGCTCCAGTGCGAGCCCTCTGACAGCCCACAGCTGCCCCCCGACCCGCGGCCCCCGCCCCCCCCGGGCAGCCGGGCCGGGGACCTGCACAGGGACGGCAGTGGCCCCGTCCGTGACCTCTCCCCCCGCCCCCGTCCCCCCTCCCCCGGCGGCGGCCCTCCACCGAGAGCGAGCGGGAAAGGCTCTCGGCGGGTGGAAGTGATGCCGGCGATGGGCCCCGTGGGCGATGTCATCCACTCAACGATGCCAAACAACATCCTTCGGCAGGTTGCCGTGGCAACGCTCCTCTCCTCCGAGCGGCTCCCAACAGAAACATCTCAAGGGCAGAGTAATTAGGTAAGTGGAGCAGTCGGGCGGCACAGTCACTCCCGGTGAGCACCGCGCTGCGGAGTGTCGGGCGCGCGGGCCCTGCCTGACTCGGCGACGCCCCCTGGGGGCCGGCGTGCACGTCTGTGCAGGCGTGTGCGTGTGTGTGCACGCGTGTGGTGTGCGCGGGGCTGGGGTGCGAGGGAGGAGGCGGGCTCTCTGAAGGGCACCTGCCCCGAAACTGCGTCAGCCAGGGCACCTGGCGACAGGTGGACTCCTGGGACCGGGGCACACTCAGCCCCCACGCGCCGGGGAACATTGCTCGCCTACGCCTGGCTCTCCCCGCGCAGCGAAGCTCCTGAGCGTCTCAGGCGGCTGGTTCATCCGCTGACTCAGACCCTCCCCCCACCCCCCCACCCCGCCGGCTCGCCAGCCTCTTTTCCTCCAGTTTCTGAACCCGGGCCCCCACCTCAATGCCTCCGAGAACCGCTCACTCACTCACCCGGGAGACGGGCGGGGGAGGGCCGCACTCCCGGGCTTTCCTTCCACGGCGCCCCCCCTCACCCCAGCGCCGCCATGGAGAAGGTGAAAGGTACTGAATGAATCTCACCGACGACCCCCCCTGCCCACAGGCCCGGCCTGGGGTCCTCGAGCCCTTTGCAGGTTTTCTCCGGCGCTTCCTCCTCCCGACGACCCCAGGACAGAGGAAGACGCACGGGGGGGGGGGGGGACTAGTCCCAGCCCAGCGGCTGGGCTGCCCCCTCCCCACCATCCGGGGCCCTCCAGGCCCAGCTGCCTCTGCTGGAGGTGCACAGACCCCGGATG